ATATATATATATATATATCCAAGTCCAAAGTTACAAATACTGGACAATGTGATACAAAGACTCAATCATTTTATCTTTGATCTTCAAACATTACAGTTTCTTTGTAAATTTTTTTCTTAACAAAAATCAATTTAATTATAATTTAATTCGTTTAGAAAAATGTATTGTGAATGCAGCAGTCAATGATAAATCGTAAAATACATTTTCAAGTCACATTTTCAACATCAACGAAATTTGTCTTTTCTTTTTTGTTCACGCTTCCTTAAATTCTCAGAGAATTTCAAAAGAATTCTACATTTCTAAAATGAAACTTTACTGAACATAGAAAGAATAATTTTGCTAAAAATTTAATCAGATATAGATCTAAAAATAATTTTGTTGGACCATCAAAATTATTACGTAGAATGTTTGAGCATGATTATACAAAATTAATAATATTCCTTTCACGAAGATATAAATTTTTAAACAACAGGATATATAATATAAATAGGATAACAATATATAAATTCAATTGAAAAAAAATATAAAAACACCTAAGATCATATCCTGCCGAGCAATGCCATCTGTTACTCTATTGTTTGAAATTTATCTCGGCTTGTTATATTATTTATATTAAATTTCTCTTTTGAAAATCACCGTTGGTTATCAACGTTGGATATATAAATAAGTGAAGTTTATACAAAAATATATATAAGAAAATGTAATAAGTGTTTATATGCACGTACATTAAAGTTAAGCGTGACGTACGCCGCCGCCACGAGAATCGAGACGTGCAATTATAAGCATCTCGCTTATAATTTGGGTGGTCGGTAATGCGGCTCGATCAAGTCACGGCTTGCTATATCACGGCCGGCCGAATGACGGGGGTAAATTCGACCGTTACAGAAAAGAACACGAGGCACATTGCAGCGCGGCGCGCCGACCGATGGATGCATGTGCGTACACACGCGGCACTCGCGGACTCTTTCTTCTACGCATCATCGCAGGGACAGGTGAACACCACGACCACCGTGGGCCAGCGCCCGTAACGACCATTATGGTGTGTGATTGCTTCTCGAGAGATTTTTCTCGTAATATATCCACGGAAGGCGATTACTGATGATTACGCGCTTTGCTGCCTCATTATTTCTTGATTATTTCCCAATGTGATCTCGTAGCGAGCGCCAGCATGCGAAATTCTTAAAGCGGTATCCATTGTGAACGTAAAGAATATTCTTTGTAGTGAGGGATGTGTGATGGAGATGGAGGATTTGAGAAGCGAGCGTACTTGTTACCAGGCAATCTGCCCTTCAGATCTTTATAGCACGCGGATATTAATGCGTAAACCTCGACGTTACTCTCCGGAGCGTAAATTGCTTCTCCTGCTCTCGTTTCGGCACAGCCGTTGGATCTCCGAGGGAATGCCGACTTCCTCCTTGTTTAAACGCGGGAACATCAATATCCGTGGGGGATTTCGTGTTTCGAGGCCCCGCGCTCCCCACGGGCTCTCACTTCCGGTGCCGGTCAAGCAGACCGGAACACGCGGGGTCCCCGAGTACACCGTGACGTCGGAGCATCAGTCAAAAATTAGGCAGAAACCGATCCGCAGGGGTTCAATGCCAGGATGTGGCTAATACCGGGACTTCAAACTCATACCGAAGACGATTACCGGCTCGATCGTTTTTTCACGGTTTTATGATCGATCTAATAGACGATGCGATCATGATTTTTAACAAATGTTCAACGTAATATATTACTATTGCGATTTCTTTTTTTTTCTGACATTTTTACGAAATTGATAAAAAAAATTATATATAATGTAATATAATAAACCGAGTTAAATTTCAAAGAATAGAATAATAGATGGCATTATATTTGGTAGGTAGGATTTTAGGGGAGCGGGAAGAAATATATTTTCTTTCTGAACTTATATCTATAAATTTAGGACAATTGCTTATATCGCGAATCGTGTTATTTTTAATGGATTTGCAACAGCTCAAAGCTAAAGCCAAATTAGTTGGGATAACCCTTTTAATAAATCAAAAATCAAATTTGAAATCGATTAATTTCCCTCTTTTGTTTCTTCAGAGAAATTCTTTTATTGCAAAAAAGATTATCTCAGCTAGAAGTTGAATCTGCATTATCCCTTTTTATCCCAAGCAGACGTATTGATAAAAATTGAATAAAAAATATATACAAAAAAAAGAAAGAGGAGAGAGAGAGAGAGAGAGAGAGAGAGAGAGAGAGAGAGAG